ATGGCTGAGTCTTTATTTTTATGTATTTATTTATTTTGGTTATACTAAGAGTTGGACTCAAGACCTTGCACAGGCTAAGAAAGCACACTATGCCGGGACTAGATCCACAGCCATTTACAATCTGTTTGGCTAGTTTGAGACAGGCTAAGTTGCCCAAACAGGCTATGAACTTGTGGTCTTGCTGCCTCCACCTCCCCAGTGACTGTGACTCCATTCAGGTGCCAAATGCAGGGCTGGATCTGAATACAGTGACTGGAGAAGGGTCTGCTCCGAAGCCAGCTTCAATTCCTGGCAGAATCTGAAGTCATTAAACATGCTTTTTAAAATTTTCTGTGTCTGCATGAGTTCCTATGTGTGCATATGTATGTGTATGTATGTATGTGTGCTGTGCACATGCCTTGTGTTTATGGAGGCCAGAAGAGGGCACTGTGAACCACCCAATGTGGTGTTGGGAACCGAACCTGAGTCCTCTGCAAGAGCAGCAAGCTCTCTTAACAGCTGAGCCACCTTTCCAGCCCAAGACTGAGGTTCTTGCCATTGCAGGACCAAGCCCTCCTCTCCTTGACACCTCTAAACCGCAATGACGCAAAGATGCTGCCACGCTTCCAATCTCTAATTTCCCTGTTGCTCTCAGCCAAAGATCTCTGCTGTCAAGGGCTTGTGGGATTACAGCGAGTTCACATGGATCTTAATTTAAGGTCAGCTAATTAGTACCTCAATTACATGAGCAAAATCCCGTCTGCCAGGAAATGATATTCCTGGGAGTAACACTCCAGAGTGAAGGCCTTTGGAGCCAAAACCCTACCTGGCATTTCCTAGTCTGGTGAAAATAGAGGCAGGCAAACACTTGGCGACCTTGGAAGAGTCTTCCAGCTGCAATAAGGGGTTGTCAGATGCGCAGAAACTTGTGAGCTGACCAAGCCAGGAGCTGCGTGTCCGGGAGCAGCCAGCCTTGTTGCTAATGCAGCGTCTTGGGCAGATGGGTGATGTTGCTAAGCAAATAAGTGTGAAAAGCTCGTTGTCTTTAGTATTGTTTTCACGCGGCTCTGACGATAGATCGCGTGGCTCTGCACTGTAATTGTCATTAGATGAGAACACAAGAAAATCCCTTTCAGATATGTATTCAAACCAGAAACGGCTCGAGAAATCAGGGCAGATAAATGAACCCTGAGCGGCTGTGTCTAAACACTTCTGCTCTGCAGAGGGTGGGGCGCCCTCAGCAGCCGAGTGGAGTCAGCTAGTTAGGACCCCGAGAAACAAAAAGGGGGGATTTCCTCTTCATCGTTGCCTAACTTCTTCCCTTTCTCTCCATCCCCTCTTCTTTCTTGATTGCTCCCACCAAATTAGTCCACTTGTTTATTGTTTGTTTATTTATATACCAGGCTGTCTGGGAACCCAGACTGGCCTTAAACTCACTGTGTAGCAAGTCCCCAACCAAGCTAGGGATTTCAGAAGAGCAGCACCCCAGCTGGTTACACAGTAGCAAGGCTTGAACCAAGGCCTCTTGCATGTCAGACAAGGACTCTAACAACTGAGTTACATCTCCAGCTCCAAAATCAAATGAAGACGTGAAAGTTGAATTCTCTAAGTTATCTACAGGTTTCAGTCCAAACTCCCCAAGAGGGCAGTGAGGGTCCTCCCTCCGCCTTCTCCAGGGCTCGAGTCCTCTTCAGTCAGTGTGTGCGTGCATGCATGCATATGCACATGAGTGCATGGGGCTGGGTTATTTCTCTTTCCTGATTCCCTTCTTGTGTTTTTTTCTGACCCTGCACCATACACTGCCTTCTCTCAGAGCATCCCCTTGGCTCTCCTTGAGCCTGTGGACTGATCTGCCCCTAAGTGCTATCCACAGCACAAAGTGGACACCACGCAGCCCAGCTCACAGCCTCTGAGGTCTGAGACCAGAGTTTCTGGACGGGGTTATCCTCCATGTTAACACCTGATCTACCCCTACGATGACCACTTACAGGAGCCATGGGAATAAGCGAGAAGAAAGGAGACGAAGGACAGTGGACAGACAGAGAGAGACAGGGTGGGTGTGGTGGTTCAGGCCCATTGTCGCAGCTTCTATTCTCAGGAGGCTGAAGCAGGAGGACCAGCCCGGGCAACTTAGGGAGACTCAGGCATAGAAAAAAGCCTAAAGAGGGCCGTGGTGTAGTTCAGTGGTGCAGCACTGGCCTAGTGTGTGCAAAGCCCTGGGGACAATCCCAGAGAGTGCAAAAAAGGCAAAGGAGACAGGTGTGCAAATAGAAAGCAGTGGGGATAATCCAGGGCTCCCCACACTTACTCGTGGAATCCAGACTGAAGTCCTGAGCAGACCACGGTGAAGACCATGCCCTCTGGTCAGCATCCAGACAGACAAACAAAATATAGGATGATTACTGAAAAACGTATGTATGTGTGTGTATATATATAAAATGACTGTTAGTGGCCAACCTTTGATACAGCAACATGGTATCATTCAAAAGTTCACACTGCAGAACACCCCCCAAAGAATCACAAAGCAATCTCATAATGTTTTGAGTAAACCTATGATTTGATGTTGGATTTGATTCATAGCTACCATGGGCTGGGCGGGGCCTCAGAGTCACCGGTTGAACATACTGGTTGGTGGTGTGGGCTGGGTACCATTGGTTGGGAGGCCCGATAGATGAGAGGTCAGCTGGAAATATGTTTCTGGCAAAGGAAGCGACAGGTGCAGTAACCCAGAGGCCGGAAAGAGATGCCTTTGATTTCAGGGGTCTCGAGGAGGCTGGGGAGGCCTGGCTAGGTGAGCAGCAGGGAGGGAGGGGTATGGCATCCTGAGAAGCAGAGCTCTCGCTGCGACGAGAATTGCAAACATTCTCCCAGCCTCGTGAATAGCACAGAGAAGTGGCTCTGTGGTCCCGAGTGTTTTCTAACTGCCCTGCTGGAGGGTCATCTGGCTGGAGGGATGGATGCCTGCCAGTTGACTGGGGCCCAGATCTTCACGGGTCCCAACAGCTAGTACCATGCCCTGGTTTTCAAAGATTTTTTTTTAATCTATAAATGTGATAGCTTGCTTTTAATCTGTAAAAACTATTTTATGTTTATAAGTATTTTGTTTGCGTGTATATCTGAGCACCATGTGCCTGTGGAAGCCAGAAGATAGTGTTGAGTGTTGGACCCCTGCAACTAGAGTTACAGACAGCTGTGAGCTGCCATGTGGGTGCTGGGAACTGAACCCTGGTCCTCTGGAAGAACAGACAGTGCTCTTAAGTGGTGTGCATAGGCTCCATTGTCACCGGGAGAGGGGTTCCTCTTCTTTTGAGACTTGCACCCCTGGAGATCTCTCACCTCTAAGGGCAGGGAAGGCAGTAGGCTAAGGAGGAATCCATGCTTCTCAGAGCACAGCGAGGCAGCTGAGGTGATGTGCTTTGCTGAGCTCCAGGCTGGGAGGCTTCCTCTGTTCACGGGGAGCTGACCACTAGCTGAGAGGGAGAGCTGGAAAGGAAGAGGGGCCATAAGGATTGCTGCCACGTTTTTTTCTCTTGTTTCTTCCTCCTTGGGGTGCCCTGGTATGTGTCCTTGGTCAGGTTTTCTTTCTAGTCCTGAGCAGAGCCGTGCCCTTAGCAACCAGCTCCGGGCTGAGCACGGCACGGCAAGTTTTCGCTGCTGAATTCTCTTCTCGAGATGCACAGCATCTTTTCTCTCTAGCCCCCGCCCCCGCCCGCCTGCGCAGTGTGACAAGTGTACACCACATCGAGTTGCCGTTTTGAACATTGTTCTAGTGTCTTGTGATATTCAGTGCATTCACATTGTCACAGCATTCGTCTCCAGACCTTTGCCATAGTCCCACACTCAAGCCCTCGGCCTATTGAGCAGTGATCTCCGCTCCTGACTCTCTTTGCCCCACCCCCAAACCACAATTGTAGTTCCTGCTTCTATGAATTTGTCCACTCGAGGTACTTCAAGTGAGTAGAATCATTCAGTAACCGGCCTGTCGGAAATGAAGGTATTTTAAAGAGACACTTTTGTTCCTCAATCTGACTATCAGACTATTGAAATAATGGAGGCCAAGGTAATGGGGCTCCCCCAGGAATCTCACGCCAGGAGGAGGAAGAGATTGAGAGCTTGCTGGCAGTTAGAAGAGGAGCTTGTCTCAGAAAAGAGATGTCACAGTTCTAGCAACTTGTTAGACCACCTTGCAGGGTGAGATGGAAGCCCAGACAACTGTAGATCGGTGTTGGGTGGGACCACACCATGAGCAGACTGCTTAGATGCGCCCATCCCCAGTGCCCTAGTTAGCCTTCAGTCTCAGTTCAGGACTCTAAAGATGAGCTGGGAGGGGGGGTGTCACAGAGTCCCTTTCTCCTACTTTCCAGTGTGACTACATCAGATGAATCTTCTTTTCCTGCATTTTAGCATTAATTTGGCTGTGTCGTGCGTCCAAATGTCTTCCCTCTTTAAGGCTGAATGATATTCCATGGGGGCACGTACCACATGTGGTCTGTGTGTTCCTGTGTTTGTTGATGGACTTTGTGATGCTCCTGCCTTTGGGCTGTTGTGGGACTGGTCCTGCTCTGAACACGGGGTGCAGATATCTTTGAGTCCTTCCTCTCAGTGCTTTAGGGTTCCCATCTAGAAACAGAGTTATTGTACCATATGGTAATTCTTCTTTGACTCTTGGGGGTAGACATACTGTTTTCCTCGGTGTAACTGGTTCATGTCATCACCGCTAGTGTACGGAGCTTGCGGTTTCTTCACGTCCTGTCAACACTTGTACTCCGCTGTTTTCACAATAGCCAGAGTGTGGCCTCATCTTTTAAAATGTGGAAAGGCCACTGTGGAGGGAGTGGTTTTCCTCTGTGTGTGAAGGAGATGGCTGGAGGCTGGGTTTTAAGGGAGCTTAGAGAAGATCTGGGATGTGGTACCCAGAACCTTCCTAAGCTCAGGTTGACTGTCTGACCCCCACTATGGGGCTTTTTCGGCTTAGAACCTGTGTCTAATTTGGGCCTTGCTCTTTCTTTGTTTCTCCCCAGTGTGACAATGCAAAGGGCTTGAAAGCCTTCTACGATGCAATAAAGTACGGGCCGAACCACTTGATGGTGTTTGGAGGCGTCTGTCCATCTGTCACATCTATCATCGCCGAGTCCCTCCAAGGCTGGAATCTGGTGCAGGTAAGGGTGGAGCCCCCTACCCCACTCACAGGGGAATTGTCTTTGTGGGCTGCAAGACGTAGCAGGATTGGGCCATGCATAATATGGTTCCTAAGCTGCACAGCCACCATTACCCTCCCTTCTGACCCCTGCCTAGCCTGTCCATCCACTGAACATACTAAGGGTCCTTAAACTGTGTGTCTGAAACCGTGGTGCCGCTGACTCCCTAGCCAGACATTTGGGTCCATAAAATCCTATAAATTTACCTATGCCGATAATCCTCTCTCTGCTCCTGTCACCTACTCCACAGCGCTGCTCTTAGACAGCACCATGCCTCAGGTAGCACTGGGGTAGTACCACCCCCAGACAGCCCCGCCCCCATTCAGGTAGCACCATTACCATCCTCAAGACAGCAACAACCCTACACGAACCCAGGGCTGCCTCCGAGTCCATCCACTGTACCATATGTCAGATGCCCCTAGCCTTTCCTTACCGGAGACTGAAGTTCTCCTTTGACCAGCGAGACTGCCCTTTTCTTCATTAAACCATTCATAGGCTCCTGGCCAGGTATTGGCTTTTTATGATGGCTGAATTTTACACCATTGAATGTTTCAGTGGGCGTATAGTTGGTTGTAGGTGAGGCTCAACAGTGAGAGCTGTTACTTGGAAAAGGAAAGAAAAAGTAGAGAAAGATATGGCCATGAGGATGAGTGGTGGTGACCCATGTGCATTCCATCCATCCATCCATCCATCCATCCATCCATCCATCTATTATCTACTTATCCCTCTATCAATCCACCCATCATTTATTCACCCCTCCATCAATCCATTTATGCATCATCCATCCAGATACCCATCTACCCATCTCTCCATCTATCCATTCATCTACCCATCCACTTATCATCTATTTTCCTTCATTTCAACCAACCAAGAAATGTTTGGGGCAACTTCCTTTCTGCCTGGAATTCCGGTAGGCACTGGGGATGGAGAGCTGAAGGGTAGAAATGGTCCTTGACATGTCAGAGCTGCTTGCATACTAAGAAGAGGCCAAGCAATAAGCAAGGAAGTAACAGTAATCCTAAGGGTTGTCCCTGCAGCCTGCCATGCACCAGACACTGTTCTGAGCCATAATGTGCATAATGTATCTTTATTACTGATCTATTATCATCCCCATTTTATGTATAAGAAAACTGAGACACACAGGGGCTCCAGAGCTTGCCTGAGGACTCACAGCTAATGAGTTGTAAGACCAAATTTAAATTCAACTAGGCCAGCCATTGAAATGAGATTTTTGAAGAAGACTACTGTGCTCAAAATAAGCAGGGGTTAAATAGTGACTCTGTGGGCCCTCGGCAAAGGCCTCTGGGAGACAGTGACACTGAATCTGTGATCTGAAGGGTAGGGAAGGGCTGCTGGGAGAAGTGCATCGCTGTCCTTGAACGGGATGGCAAATTCAGACAGGCAGCCAGTAATAAGGAAGAGTCTCCATGTCTGGGGACAGAAGTCGGGGCTCAGGGGCTGCAGCGCTGGGGCTGAGCAGTCAAGACAGTGACAGAGCACCAACGGGAATCTTCCCTGAGTCCCTGAGGTCTGCCTGCCTTGGGTACTTTAGATAGAGTCCAAGCTTTCGAGAGAAGAGATGAGATGCTAGTCACAGCAGAGGCATGGTGCGGTACTGGTGGCCCGCGGAGCCGGGCTCACATGAGCTTTCCCGGCAGGTGACAGAGTTACTGCTGAAACCGGAGAACGTGACAACAGATTGTGATACAGAGACAAGCACTGCTGGGGGAATACAATATCAGGAGGTGGGAATGTGGGTGGGCTTGGGTAGCTATGCTCCTTCATGTGGCTAAGTGTGGGCCTGAGCAACAGGAGGGGAGGATGGAAGCACCAAACCTCATAGCATCCAGGGAGCTAGAACAGGGCAGGGTGTGTGAGAGCCTGCCTTTAAGCCCCAGGGTGTCCCCAGCTGTTAGAAAACCTTGGCCTAGTCCCTTGCCTTTTCTGAACTTCACTCTTGATCGCGGGAGGCTCCATAAACATGGAACCAAGGGCAGAGGACAGCTAGGCTGAAGACCACAAAGCCTCCATAGAGAGCCCATGGTAACTGTGGCCGTGGCTATAGGACCACATTGGGCGTGCGAGCCTGCCAGCTCTGTCTCCCCCTCCCCCTTTCGGATTTGCTGTGCATCTGTGACCAGCTTCTTGGATGGCACTCAAATGCAGCCCACCACTTTCCAGGTTCAAGGACTAGGTTCAAGGGCTCTGGTGGGATGCAGAAGTGTAGGGGCCCAGACACTGGGATGTGGGCTGTGCTGGACAGATCTTGGGTGCTTCAGTGAGTTGGGAGGCAGAATGGTAGACTAAGCCCAAGGGAGTCATTCTTCTCTCACCTTGTGGAGTCTCAGTGTGGGAAGGGAGGCAGAGCTGGATCCTGGTGGGAGTGGCCTGCCAGCCTGGAAATCTTCCTCTCCCCTTCACTCACAGGAACTGGACGCCCATTTGTCCGGATCCGAACTATGGGTTTTCCAAGCTGCCTCCGCCCTCTCGGGAGGCTGAGCTCACCCGCAAAGGGTGGGTGGGCCTGCAGCTGCTGAAGAATTTGAATGCCTTGAGTCATTTCAGGACGGGGCTCTGGGGAGTGGGCTGCACAAGAAGCTCTGACTGCCCCTTGAGGGTGTGGGACACAAGCTGGACAGAGACCCACCTGGAATGCTGGAATGGGAATAAACCGCTTCCGTTTCTTGGGCCACAAAAAAATAGGGATTCGCACATCACTGGGGAGAAAATCCATGCTGGTGCTGAAACAGGTTAATTTTAACTTTTGCCTTTCGCTGCGTCTCTAGATTCAGGCCTGCCGTGAGGGAAGCTCATACTGTGTTTGTCCTGTCCTGAGTCACTCAGTCACTAGGAACCTAAATTCTCACACCTCAACGTGAGGACCAGGGAAGGGTAACTCGATTCCTCTTCCACCCCAGGCAGGTCCTGCACATGATATGGAGCTCTAATCTGGGCATCACAAAGGGGAAGACCAACTAGGGTACCAGTAGGAAGGAGCTAGCTGGACATCAAAGAAGGGAGCATGATGGGACTGCAGAGGAGGCTAGGGTTTGGGTCTCTGGAGCTGCATGGGCGTCTGGGAGATGGCCTGGTGATCTGAGGTACAGGTGTGAGAGGAAGGAGGCACGGTAGAAGATAGAGGGGATCAGGTTTTCAGCACCTGCAGGCAATCCGTGGTTGTGACGTCATAGGGTTGCTAGCAGTCCTTCCCTGGGAGAGATGTAAACATCTACTCTCCCTATAGTTCTGGTGACCAACCAAAGTACGGTTCCACCGCAGCTCACCCCAGGGGACCATGAGTCTATTGGACCATCTACGTAGAATGTGTGGGAGGAGTTACCAACCCCAAAGCAGCCTCATTGTAAGGCTTTCCCTCAGCATAGATGATGGTTGTGTTGTAGCCACATAGACGGAAGCCTTTCGTTCCCTCATCTTCTCCAGCTCATATATGATAGATAGCACCATCTCTCGGCCATGAGGACACAGCAATTAGGGCAGACCTGCGTATAAATGGCTCTGAGGAGGGGTTGGATACTCAGGTGAGGGCTCCAATGACTCCCCTGACCCCCTCCTCCTAGGAGGGAATGTCAACACTCCCTATGCCCAATCATGACAGTCCCTTGCTAAGTAGGCACAGACAGCAGTTAGGTTGCACTTTGAGAATAATGCTGTACCACACCCTCATAGCTGAAGGTGCCCTGAGCCGTGCGGTGTCAGCAAGGTCTGCTGTGGAAAGACTGAACCTGGAGTAGAGAGATCAGATTGTCAGCTTGCAGCCCCTGTGATATGCTTGCTTCAAGGAAAAATCTCTGGGGCTCAACTCTCTACAAGACTAGGTTAGAATATTCATTGACTCCCTCAATGACCCACCCGTCACCCTGGATCAGCCCAGTGCCAGCAGCTTGGGTGACTGCTATGCACTCTGCCCTTGGAGACTAAGTGGCCAGGTGCTCACTAGGACCACGTGTCTCTAGGGATCCTTAGTAAACGCTGCTGCAAAGATGTGGGGAGGAGGTCACAGGGCAATTGTAAAAGACCACAGCTGGGGCACATTGGCCCATGTCACCAAGGCAAAGCCCCACTGTGTGGTGTGGCAAGGACATTTCCCCAACCCACCTTCTGCTTCTTCATGCAGCTGGCCTTAGTCCATGCTGCTCCCTCAGCCTCTGCAGTTCTTTTACCCAGGAGGAGCCTGTTCATCCTTCATGGTACATCTTCTCACTTCTTAGGAGCAGGCCAGGGGCTGCAGCCTCAGCTCAGGACAGATCTCCCCGCTTCTCAGGAGCAGGCCAAGGGCTGCTTCGGCTTATACCACCACCACAGTAAAGATGAAAATAAGGTCAGGCTCCTGTCAGGCTACAGGGTGACTCATGAGAAAGGCAAACAACAGATACCTAAGAGCTGCATCCCACGGAGCTTGTCCTTTTAAAGGCTCCATGAGAGCTTATTAACTGTTAGATGCCTATCTCCAAATGTCCCCAAGATGCCCTTGTAGCCCACCTTGCCTCCTGGCCACACCCCTGAAGAGCTTAAGCAGGAAAGCTCTGAGCCCCATAAGAGCTGTCTCTCCTTGGATAAGCTCTTTGCGAGGTTGGAGTGGGTGGAGGTCCTGGGGCCATTCCAATGGAGAAGGCAGATTCTGCAGACCCAATGCCAGTTAAGTTCCAGTACATTCAGGACTCTGTTTCCCCAAAGTGGAAATCTTGCTTGGTTTTGACATTAAAAAGAAAATAAAAATCTTCATAAACCCCTAAATCTAGTGCTTTGCTGTCTGACGAATTCCAGTGTCTCTCTGAACTGCCAGTCAGTGCCTTTTGCTTCCTAGGAACAGAAATTTTGTGATTTGATTTGATGTTCTCACATGATTATTTTATTAAACTGTAGGTTGCCTGAGAAATCAAACACTTCCTACTGAGCTGTGGGTTGTAGGATTTGAGGTGGGTTTCCAGGATGGCAGGGCT